TGCCTTCTCACACATCTGATAAAGACAACTTTCAAAAGCAGAACACTGGACAAGACAGTACACACACTAAACAAGTGATTTTATCCAGTAATATAATTCTGATGGTGGTATAAAATGTTTGGCAAACAATTCTGGAATAAAAAAATTTATGTGTAAAATGTTCACGTGCAATTCCCATATACAAAATGAACTGCATGTCCTGCCTAAAACCCATTCACTACAAACATCCTGTCCAGCTCAATTCCAAAATAGAATTTGAGATCATATTCAGTATCTGTACTGCAGTGCAGTGCCTTAGAGAGGAAGGTACAAATGCTGCAATCTCAACCGCGCCATCCCTCACATGAGCTGTTAAACAGTGGTCTCTTGTGTCAGTCCCTGGTGTATCTTCAAAAGTCACACACTGACAAGTAAAAGAAACACTTTTTAAAATAAACAAAAAATATGCAAAGTGTTTTTCAGCATTTTTTCATTCTAAAACTGCTTCTAACCTCCAAGATTGCTTTTGAGCATTTTCTTCAGTGCATTCTGGGAATCGTGTTTGTATGTTTGATGACTGCAGCTACCAGAATCTAATATATTGTGATAAACTCCTTTAAAGATAAGCAGTACATGAAGAGCAGCAAGGGATTAAAAAAAAAAAAAAAACACACACAACACTAACACACAAAGTTTTTTTCTATTCTATTTTACCGAGAGATTCACATATCAATTCTTCTGATGTTTTGTGACTTACTTTACAATAATCTTCAAACCTCATTTCTCCAGGTTCCTTTTGTGTCCTCTTATTCCACAGAAACTTCATTTAGGATGGCATCTAAGTGTATGATTTTTAATCAGAGGTAAAGTGATATTCCTTGTTTAAATGCTGCCATAATGAGGAATATCTGGAATAGAAGTGACTCTGGAATCACAGACCTCATGTCCTTGAAATGTGAATACATTATATTCTTCATTTCAGAGTGAAGCAAAAATCTCTGCCATAAACTTAATTCTTTAATTATCTGAAGTATTAAAACGCAGCATTGAGTGAATAAAATCTTTTGCATGTCAAACATGAATCCTAAGTAATGTTTAACTTTATTTAAAAGTACTCTTCCAGCGTTGCAAAGTAAACTTACACTTCTCTCTGGCAATCACACTCAGAACTATTAAGTCCACGTAGAAAACAGGGCAGCACAGAATATGTTCACATAAGCAAAAATTCTATATTACTGTAACTTTCTAAAAAAAAAAAAAAAAAAAAAAAAAAAAAAAAAAAAAAAAAAAAAAAAAAAAAAAAAAAAAAAAAAAAAAAAAAAAAAAAAAAAAAAAAAAAAAAAAAAAAAAAAAAAAAAAAAAAAAAAAGGGTTAAAAAGAGATGATGACTCCATCTGACCTGGGGAAAATATGCTGCTCACACTGATTAAGCTTCTTATTCCTGACAGGCATGGTAGTCTTCACTGTCTCAGACGACAGTGAGAAAGACCATAACCCTGTCGGCCCTACTTCAGTGTGTCCTGGTAGTGTCTCCTACCATAAACAGCTAAAAGAAGACCTGCCTCTATACTGAGAAACTCCACAACTCCAGAAAAGCATACATACTGGCATCAGGAATATCACAAGATCAAATAGCTAAATTACACATTTCTCATCGCTTTTAGGTACATACTGCTCCCAGAATTCAGGATGCCCTTAATGAATATAAGGAACATATGTGGGCAGTATTTCATTGAAACACTGAAATTGTTTTAACCCCTTCACCAGTTTGTCACCCCACTCCATGTAAAGGCCTTCCTTATGGGGATTCTAAGTCACTAAAAGCAGTCTTTACATGTGTGCATTATGGAAGGAGACTATGCATTAAGGCAAAAACATTTTCTGTTCTCTCCTGTAACTCTGAACTATTTTCACTCTGGTCAAAATACACATCCTAAAAAAAAAAAAAAAAAAAAAAAAAAAAAAAAAAAAAAAAGGAAAAAAAAAAAAACCAAAACCAAAAAAACAAAACAGAGGAATAGGTAGGTTCCATATTAACTGTGTTTTAGATTCTTGACTGTAAAAACTAAACAATTAAAGTTTATTTTGTACATAGTTTGCTCTTTTATAATATTTAAAAGCAAAATCTCCTCTACAGGGAGGAAGTCTGCTCCAGACACACAACTAATAAAAGCAAGGGCAGGATACTCGCTCCTTTTCAATTCTCTTGCACAGTTATGTGTGCATTCACTAGGAGAAGTCGGGGAAATGTATGTCCAGGCCTAAAAAGGGCCACACATAATGACAGGTCATCTCCACCTGGAGTATTCAGCAAAGTAATGAGGGAGATCCTGTTTGTGTCATTCACAGGACTACAGAAGATTTCCTTGAGGAGGACTGAAGAGAACAGGGCGGAATCCCAGTCTGTCCAAAGTTGTCTCAAACAACATAAGGACTGATGCTTCCAGAAATACACAGCATTAACAGGTTACATTTACTTCTCAGAAGTGGTGCATCAAACTCAAATTCTTCCCCCAAAAAAACAGAAATCCACTCTAGCAGCAAAAATTGCAGAGGTAATGCATGACAACACCTTTCCAAAAAAATAATAATAAAATAAGTGCAGCAAACAAAAAAGATGAATCATTAGGCATATAGGAATGTGTAAAAGAGGAAAGGAAAGAAGAAATTATCCATCAACATGGGGGGCAAACACAAATTCAATTTAGTACCTTAATGCAAATAAAGGGCATTTTTAATTGAGTAAAATCTCATGTGTCTCCTTAAACATTAAAAGAATATAGTGTAAACACTTCAGGGTAAACTCTAAAGATGCTACAGTAATTTTGAAATATCAGAAAAAACAACGCACAATTTTAGAAAGTTTATCAGGTCCTATCAAAAAAAGAAAATATGAAGAGCACTGTTTACATGTAGTAGGCCTACAGATGTCATCCTGAAAATATTCAAAGTATCGAATGCTTTTTGCTTGCCTACAGTGTTCTTTGAAAAGTTTTTGTTTAGCTATGAAACACTTATAAATCTGTCAGTCCTTAATTACTATTTTAAAAATAAATAAAAAGCAATACTGCAGCAATTACCAGGTAATACTCAATTTCAAGCGCTTTCTATCAATCACATTCAGAAAGTTATGTACACTTAATAGCTTTAGAGAATAGCTTTAGTCCAAGCTTTCTAAGAATAGACAGCAGGAAGACTGCATTTAAAAAATACATTTTAAAGCAACTGACTTTTCTGAGTAATGTCCATAACTTGGACAGAGTGGAAGGAAGAGAGGAGTAAAAATCACTATTTATATACCACTAAACTTACAGATTAGAGATTCAAAACTTCACATGAAAACAGTATTTCTCAGGCCTTTTTGATTTCTCTACACAATAAGCCTCTCCCAAGCCTCAGTTTACCATATTCAAGGTCATTTTACCACCAGTACAACATTCTAAACATTTTTAAGTATTATCTAAGACTGGGTTTGCCAAATCTGTATTAAGCCTGACACACATTATCAGGAGTGCTGTTTTACATAACATGCTGCTGCTGTCAGGTGCTGGAGTTTAACATTACTGTATATGTGCTGAGCAGTATTAGCATGCTCACTGCTCCTCTTTCCCTATTAAGCATTCAGATAACACTAGCTAAGCTTAATATTCAAGCCTGCAGTAAGACTGCCATTGTACAAGTCTTCCAAAAATGTTTACCAGTGAGAAGTACTACTAATTAAACTCTCATAAATTGAGATGACAAATTATCTTTCACAGAAGTATTTTTCTGTTTTGTCTTTAGGTGTTAGACAACACTACAGTAGAAGTCACATAGCACCACCAGGAAAAAAGTTGCCAATCTTCAAGCCAATGTTGCGTAACAGCTGTATTTCCTGTAAAAGCAGATTTTCCAAGAATCCTCAAACAAACAAAAAAGGAATAACAAGGTATATATCTATTATTTTAGGGTTTCTGGTAGAAATAGAAGATGACCGAGATCCAGGATTCACAATGCTGCAAACAGTATATGAATATGCTTCACATACACTGAGTGGCTTGCTTTCCCCTCCTTTTTAGATGTATTTTCTTACAAGACATCGAACGTGAACATTTTCTAAATCAGACTGCCCTAAATGAAAAGGAACTTAAGCTTCATTCTACAGTCTCAGTGTTTTCAGCTCTACTTATCAAATGTCTCAGCAATTTTTCCTCAAACTGGCACGGTTAGTACACATACCGCTATTCAAAGACGCCTATCTGCAAAACTTGCTAGGATTGTGCATATAAAAGACACTTGGGAGATGGCCGAGAAGGTAAATAAAAGCAATGCTTGAAGGAAAATAATCCAGATAAGCATTAGATGCAGCAGTCCTGATGTATTAATTAAACTGAGGGAAGAAACGCTCTAGCGCCTTAACATGCTTTGGATCTAAGTAACGAAAGGATGCGCACGCCAGAAAAAGCCGTATTAGTCTGTGCCCAGAGACGAGAACGCTTGCAAGTTAGTGGGAACCTCCGTGGGGAGGGGATAGGGTGGGAGAGGTGCTCTTTTTCCCCAAGTCTATTTTTGCAAAAGGAGTGTGATTGCAGCTTTCGCGCTGGGGACGGCTGCTCGGTTAGTATCTGCAGTACGCGAACACATCGGCGGGTGGGAAGGCAGCAACGAGAGGTGCTACCGGAGAGGCGCCGCTCGCCCCCCACCCGGCTGCCCGCCCCTCACCCTGCCCGGGGTACCCCCGCCGCCTCCCCCTCCCGCTCATCCCGGCACCGCCAGCAGGGCGGGCGGGCGGTTGTCGCCCCTCCGCCCGTGGGTAGGGGGCCACACGGTGCCAGGTGGAGAGGAACGGGGCCGGGGCACCGGAGCCCTCCGGCAGCAGCCCGCCTGGGCGGCGGGGGCAGCGAGCACCCGCCTCCCGCTGCCCTCTCCCGGCCCCCACCCCGGCGAGGTCCGGGCGTCTCCCCCCGCAGCCCTCGGCCGGCGCAGCCCCGGCCCCTGCCCCACGCCAGCGCGGAGGTGAGGGAGGCAAGCGCGGCGCTTACAGTTCGCAGGAACTGGATCTCGTCCTCGCCCTCGCCCCCCTCGGCCATGGCTCCCCCTGTGTGTCCTCCTCCCGGGCGCTGCTCCCGGTGCCCGGGCGGGCGGCGGCGGCGGTGGCTCCCCGCGGGCAGGCGGCGGCAGGCGGCTCACGGCCGCGCCGCGCCGGGCTGGGGCAAGTACGAGGGCGGCGAAGCCGGCAGCCCCAGCCCGGCCCCGGCTGCGAGCGGGGTGCGGGTGCCCGAGCGCCTGCAGCAGGTTGACAGCGCTGCCCGGCTGCCAGTGCCTGCCAGGGGGAGGGGGATGCGATTAACCGGGGGAGGAGGGGGAGGCGGAGCTCCCCAGCCCCCCCGCCGCTGCAGGTGATCCGCAGCCCGCTCCCTCCACACTCCAAACGCGCCGCCCAGCGCCCCTTGCCGGCTGCTCCGCGGAGAGGCGGCCCCGGCGGGCGCGGGGGGCTCGGCCGGGGGCGGTGATGCTGCTGCCCCGGCCCGCCTCACGGTCTCCGAGCCCGGGGCTGCAGCAGCCCCGCAGGGAGGCACCAGGAAGGGCGGCCGGCGCCGTGCCTGCTTGGGCACGTCTGTCCCGCAGGAGTTCTGCGTGATGTGCTGCATTGGGAGATACCTCAGGAGAGGTATTAATTAAACGGCTCTGCGCCAGTTTTTTGCCAGCCAACGGTACTGTCGGGGAGAAGAGGTGGAAATTACAACGTGGCTTCACCAGGTGTTATGCCTCAACCACAGCATTTAACCCAGAGTGACTAAAAGGCTTTAAATACCCTTTCCTTGAAGGATAGCTACCGTGTGTTTGCCACAGCGTGAAGCCAAGAGCTGCCATGGAATAGCTCATCTTTCATGAACATTCATGCAGACCATGGACACATAACTCCATAGCAGGAAGGATGCTTGGCCTCCAGCAAAAAAAAGTCTGGCAAGCCACGAGAGCTGCCAGACTTCTAACAACAACAGCTCCCTGGAACAAATACAGGGCAGAGAGGCCCTGCTAATGTGATGCAGTGGTCATGAGGTGAGGACATGAGAATATCTTTAAAAAAGTAAAATTGACGCTGGATCATTGACAGCATAAAATGTGTTAGGCATGTGTGACTGCAGAAGGCTTCTGAAGGACCAAAACTGGTAAACATAATGAAATCACGGTTATTTTGGTAATCAAGCTGTGTGGCTAGCGTAACAAAATACATGATGTTTTTAGAGAAGCTGTACCCATAATCTCTAACTTCATACTATTCAAGGACATAATGAAAAAGTGTTATCAAACACCTAGGAGATTTTATCATTACTTCCAGCAATAGAAAACCTGTTCTGACAGACTGGAAACTGCAAGAGCAGCCGTGACCCGTAAGGCCTCTAGAGCAAGTAACGTATGAGTATTTAATATAGAGGTTCCACAGGTAAACTCTAGAGTTCTGCAGATGAACTCCATCTTAAGCATTTCCTTTATAATTTCCTTGTTTCAGTTACTACTGACTTCAAGAGATTTTTACCTCTCAAGCTTACTCCTGACTGAAAATACTTTTTTCTAAGAATGATAAAATAAAGACTTTTTTTTTCATATTTTTCATTCAAGCCTCTTAAATATCCCTTCCTCCATATTATTTAAAGTGAGAGATATTTCTTGAAACATACCCCAATTATGAGGAAAAGTCCTGGATTTGGATAACTTTAAAAAATTAGGATTTATGAAAATGCACTGAACAGTGCATTTAATTGCATTTTATCCTACTTACAGCACAAGCAAGTTCCAGCACTACTATTTGTGAATGTGTTTCATATGATTGTAAATCTCAGTTCACATGGGTTTACAGGACCAAGGTCTGGATTGTAGAGCATCCAAGATACCTTCCATAATGCTTTGAAGATGAGTAATAGATTAGATGCCTGTTTTATTTCCTGCGTGTAATGCAAGGACATTAGAGAGAAAAGAAAGAAAAAACTATAAATAGTCCACTACAACATCACTGCCTGAAACATTTTGTACAGTTTTCAGCACATTATGAAATAAGGAAAGTCATTCCAAGAATGTGGAACTGATCATACCTGGTTCCTCACAGATTTGGAGCTCATAATGAGACTCCTTCGTGTTTAGCGAGATGAAAACTCCTTCTGAAAGTTTTCGACTCTAGGGCAGTAATATTTCTCTAACATACAGATTTGTTAATGTCTAATATAAGTGAAGTGTATGCTGCAGTTTTTTGGGCACCAGACTATTATCATCTATCTTCTTTGCCCATGCATCTGTTGTAATGAAATGACTAGGAGCATGTATGATACTATTAGTCCTCTGTTAAATTGTTGGAATTTTCCAGATAGTTCAAAAGATATTATGCAGTAACAGAGATACATACATCACACCTGGCTATATTAGATAATTTCCTTTGGAAGCAAAGTTAAAAGTAGTAAAGGTAATAGATTCTTCTGGAAACTTTCTGAACAGGGTGATAAAGGCTGAATGTAGTTGGAAGCACAGCTTCTTGTTTAATTATTCATCAAGGACAAATATTCATATGTGCAGTACACATAGAATATTGTCTGTACATATCTGCAAAATATATATTAAATAAAGTATAAAATATCCACAGAATGTAAAGTCAGCACATGCACAAAAGCACCTGAACAATCTAATTCCTGATGGACACAGTCTGACTTCCTCTACATTACCTGCCCACACCAATCAACTGCATTACACGTGCCTCTCCCTTTCGACTCAAAACACACAAGGTTACTCTACCATGTGAAAAAATTAGGAATGTTTTCAAAACTGGACTGATATTGTGTCTTAAATGGAATGCATTTTGGCTGATGTGAGGTTATGGTTAACTGCATTGAATAATTAAAAACAACTGATTGGTTTTAAGTGGAAGTAACATGGTAATTTCTATCATAACAGGAAGCAATGTAATGTTCACAGACTCATTTCTTAGATGAACTAGTGGTAAAATTAAAAGAATAAACATCATCCATGGCTGATATTTGGAGGTGGAATTCAGTGGAATTGCATATTTTTTTGGGTGCGGAGGAATAGGGCTCCTCACTCCAGAACTGCCAGTCCCAAAGATCAAGATGCCAGTCAACCCCATAGCAACTAACTTTGTGTTCCCCACTGTTATTTGTTCATTGCCCATTGCAAGGGCTTCTTGCTCCTGCAAGTCTAGTTTATCAGGGCAACAGCACTGTGAGGACCCATAATATGTCCTTAACAATTTTCACCAAAAAGCAGGTTTCTTGATGTAATGCAAGGAAGTACAGCAGCACCACTGTGATAGTGCTTCTGAGGCACTGCAGCCGGATTCTGAACTGAACATGAATTGACACTTTATTTTAGTGTCAATTTAGAATTTTAGCACTTTAATATCACAAATTTTATTCACCTAAATTAGATGTTAGAAGAAGTTGCATAGTTAAGTTTGTATGCACATACTCAAAGTAATAATCTATGTAAAACAGAGTTTGCCATCTATAATAATAACAAGTATTGTGAACATTCATTATTTAGTAACATGAAGGGAAATCCCAGGTGTTTCTTTGTTTTCACCTAGCAGAATTTTTTTTGTTAGCACAATTTTTTTCTTCTTGGAATCACAGAATAAGATAATACCAATAGGAATTAAATGGGGCAAGATAATGTGCTTTCTTCCTGGCACTGTTCTTTCTTACAGCATGTCAGACTTTTCAGCCAGATATCAATCTTGCAAACATGTTATTCCAAGGGGTGTAAAACTAGAGAGACTGCATCTCCTATCATATGTCATAAATCAACGCTGTCAATGAAATGGAATCAATGTAAAATCTATGCCAGTTTAGGTCACAACTGTGACTTGGAGAAAAGAATAAAATTAGTAGATCCAATTCCGCACTGAATTTTAAAGAAGAATTTATTGCAGATCAGCAGAGTTTAGGTGAACATAATTATACCTAACATCATGTAGTTGTGTGCTGGTCATGATCACCCTGGAGTTCAATAATGTACTGCATTTTCTTCACTTGGTGTTTATCCTGAACCCATAAAATACAGTAGAAGTGTTAACTGCATGTCTGTCATTGGGGATGTGTTCTGTACTCTATATATAGCATTATGTAAGAATTTACTACAGGGATACAGTGCAATAATAAAATTCAGACAGTGAAATTTTTCCTCTTTCATGAAAACTTCTGTTCTGCAACTACTGAGCTCATGTCTAAGTGTAGTCTGGAATATGGCTCTGCCAAAGTCTGGAAATCTACACTTCTCACCCAAGAACAAGAAACTAACACTGTCCGAAGCATCATTCCTGGGAAAGCTCAAAGCTTTTCATTTCTCTTTTTATTATTGCTTGTGGGATTATTAACATTAATGAGAAAGTATGGATCTTGTGACTTATATTTTTGGAAAAAAAGAGTTTGCTTGTGTTTTCATGTTCTTGTCTTCTCTGAGTTTTTATTGTTCTTTTAAACTAATGTACTGTCTGATAAATTCATTGGAAACTGTGGGGAGACACAAAAGAAGAAATAAGTTTTTGAAGGCTTCTATTTCCCCTTTGGTCATTTTCTAGCTGTTAATATATTATGTTTCTAAGTAATGTTTGTTTAAATTAGAAGAGCACATGAAATATCATCCTCAAAATAGAATTTCCTCTTTTCGTCAGTCTTGTAAAGGTTATGTTGTTGTGTAAATATATACATGTACTATATGACTATAATATATATAAGGATATATCCATCTCTCTCACTTGTATTAATAAATGGAGATGCATTTGGTGATTTCTTCAGCTTCTTGCAACAGACATTCCATCACTGTTTAGCCAATTAAAAGAAAGCAATAGAAAGGTAATTCCAATTCTATTGATAATTTATGTTAACCATACATCAGTCTCAAAAATCAATGCTGTTGCAAGCAGTTAGAGATAATCAGCTTTTCAAAATCTTTTCAAGTAAGGGTCTACATATTCCATTTTATTCTGAATGAGTTAATACCTGAGAACCTAAATAACTCCCTGGAACAAAAACAGAGAAATCCCACCTTCTAACTGAGATCCAGCAATCCACTGTATAGAATTTTCCAGTAAACTTATAAAACCAGAAAACCTTCATTCCCTTTCCCTACAGTGGCAATCTTTGCTATGAAGTTCAGTTGCGTGAAATTTAACAATTCTGTTTCTAAAGCAACAGGCAGTTATCTGGAAGAAATTTTGTGGCCACAGCACTACTCTGAAACTTGAGAAATGCAAATAATTGTTAAGAGATTTGTCT